AAATCAAAACTGTAACGCAGAAAGATATCTAGGAAAGCGAAACAATTGAGAGCGACCACACATCACAGCCAGTAACCGACAGTATATTCCCATAATGCAGTATCTCGTATCAAATATAGTATCGCAGTAATTTAGAGAGCAAAGAAGAAACTTGAATTCTAAGAAAATACCTTGTATCCTCCCTGCACGGCTGACATTGTTCTTCTTGTAGGAAAGATTTCCAACAACGTTTCGGCGTAACGCTCGCCTTCATGGCTACTCACAGTGGCCTGACAAGATGGAAGGACTTCTTGCCAAACGAGGAGAAACCTGACCTGGACGACCACTTCAGTAAGATGTATCCGAGAGCCATCGACGAAGTGTGGTACAAGCGTGCTGTGGAACAGCACTATGTGAACTCGGACAGCTTTGTCTTCTCTGTGCCAATCGACGAGGATGGAGCGGACAACACCACCCTTGTCACTGCTAGTCGTGCCATTTTCATTGGTAAAGCATCAATAAAAGCAATAATAATACTTAATAAGAGCAACTTTATTGGGCGAAGTGTCAATAAGATTAATGACAAAAGAGCAAAGAAATTTGAAGAGATGAATGAAAAGTGAAGAAGAAAGAAGAAAAGAGGAGGGGAGGAAGAATTGAAAGATGTTTAAAGGGATATTTGTTGTTTGCAGGAACTGACAAAGAAAAGGCACCGGCTGCGGTCGTAGGTTTTCAGTTCCAACACAACGCTCTTCAGGCTCTCTTCCAGAACATCACGTCCAGTTGCAAAGGAGGCGAGAAATGCACAGACTGCGCTGCTGATAATTGGGCCTGCTACTTGATCGACGACAATGGATACGTGATCGCAGCCGAAGATAAGTTTGACGCTGGACAGTTCTTCGGTGAACTGCGAGGGCCAATTATGTCGAGTTTGGTGAAGGAAGGTGTGTTCGAACAAATCAGAATATTTGATTATCAGGCGGTCTGTTTCAAGACTACGCAAATTAGCAACGACGGAAGCATTTTATTGACGGTAAGACCGCTCCCTCCTTTTGTTTATACTCGCCAGAGCGTCAAGTAAATTACACAAACAGTTCCATTGCATTGCACTGCATTCCGCGTTTCCAGCCGTGGAAACACGCTCAGCAGATGGTTTCGTGGCTGGTCGGGCAAGTGGCCTGGGCCTGGGCTAAAGCTGGAATTTGGGAATCCGAGTACGCGGAGGCGTACGCTTACCCGAACGACGAGGAAGGTATATATGAAGATTATCCGGAAAACGGAGAGAAATCACCAGTGGATCCTAAAGATGAGAAGCTGTTCGATCAGAAGGTTTTGATCAATCGAACACGGCCGGAAGCTTGCGACCAACAGGTAAATTTCATAAAATACCCACCGATTGTACAGCAAAAACATCAGACTGTTTTAATTGTTACCAGATGTACCTGTACTTGCGAAACGCGTCCTTCAACCTGTCTTACACAGAGCTAGGCGTAAACACGAAATGTAAATACATCGTGCAACCGGTCGAGTATAGCAATATGATCCTTCTGGTCGTTAACACCGACGATGAATGCGAACAGACGACGATGCCCCGTTTGACCATCACTCCAGAAGAAATAATGTACGAGAATAACTCGCTGGTGTGCCAGAAAGCGCTCACTTCCTTGAAACGGAAGAAATCTCAATCCTGTATTCGCAGTCACTCGAGGGAAAGCGAGATTAAAGATCTCTGCGGCTTGGCTTCGAGCATGGCACCGAACGTCTACCTCTTTTTCCTTTCGTCGATGGTCTACGCTCTGGTTCAACGAGTCGCGTTTGGTTGATCCTGACGAATCGTTTCAAGTTAGAAATTAAACTGTGCTGCTGACTTTTCTTTTCCGACGAGACGGTTATTTTTCACGGTCGTTTTCACACTGTGCAGTATAATAGAACATTCGCAGGAATTCGTATTATCTTTGCCAACTAAAGTGAAAACATATTGAACGAAGGAAAAGTGCAATTCGTTACGAATCGATATTATTACTATCATCATCATATTATTATCACGGCCGATGTATTATCTTTCCATTTTTTTATAGTTATCGCGGTTATGAAAATATTCTAGTATTTATAGCAACGCTGTATAAAGAGAGAGAGAGTCTCCAAGTCCTGGTACTGTCTCCTTGGATGGTACTTTGACGATGGTGCAGGCAGGGTCTGCATCTACACGCTAATCGGTCCAATCATCAATGTACCTCGAGGATTATACTATGTCACGGGATCAGGGTTTAAACAGGATTTAAATAGGATGTATACCCGTGAGTCAGTGCCGAACTAGTCCTAAAGAACAATCTAACTGCCCAGAACACAATGTGGTATTTGTTTTGTATACGTCCCTGCTCTGCCTTTTCAATCTTATTCATTCGATTCTATTCATTAGACTTCGACGATTAGATTGTAACGATTGATAACGAATATTGATCCTGATAGGTTGAAACTTTGTTGGTCATCTTTCCACTCGATCAAAAATTCTCGAAGGATTTTTGACAGCGCTTACAATTAGTCTTTGTCTGTACGATTGGAATGAAAACGGGAAAAACTAACAAATAGACAAATAATCAAAATTTTATAAATCCACGTAGATCCACGGATAGGCAACGAAGAAGAAATAATCAAAAAATATACCTTCTTATAACGGAATGGAAGAGTTACGTGTAGAAATACCGAATGAGGAAACATAAAATGTACTGTGCATTCAAACCGTTGTTGGCAGCATTGGTTCTACGAATCGCACACTCGACCAATCCACGCGTAGGAAGGAAATTCTAGAGCAGCCGGAATATACACGACGCGTTTAAAATCTAGATTTAAAGTACAGCGCAAAAGAGGAAGTTAATTCAGACGAGAAACGCTTGTAGGTGGAGGATGCACCTACATCTCGTGGGATAATCGGTTGAAGGAAGTTGCAACGAAATGATAGAGCCTCTCATTTATCACGAACTTAATTCACCATTAACGTCACTGACGTTAATTTTTTGTGGTACTCAACCACGTAAAATTTTATAGGAAACTGTATATATATAGGAGCAGGGCCGTATACAAAAGTCACACGTTCATGATATTATGAAACACGTTCACGTACCACATACAAATATTTTGCGCTTTATACATTAACCGATATAAAACGTTTGATATTTATAGAGATTACGAATATTAATTTTGTATATTAATGTATTATACTAGAGTTACAAGGATGTGTGCCTTTGGACACGCGGTTTACAAGACAAAATGAAACAAAAGTAAAAGAGAAGAGGAAGAGAAGAAAAACTTGTTGTACGTTTTTCAAATAAACAACTGAATTCTCTCTACTTCAATAGCTCTCTGCTTCCTTGAGCGAAACAGAAAGGCTTTATTGATAGGAGACGTGGCGAGTTTTCATCCGAAAAACAAATGATGTTACTTGTATTACACAGAGTTTATTACAATTTGCTATGTACAATGGCTTGCCTATGTAAAATGAAAATCGTTTTCTTATCAAAGGCAGAATTTGAACTAGTGTGTTACTTGAATTGAATTTATCATCTCCTCTATAATCTCCAGCATAGTCTTTAATTGCATATTTTCGTGGAGTCTATCCTCCAGTACTTCCAGAGCTTCTCCTTTCTCCATAAATTCTTTTAAATTATACATCGTACCATTTGGTATTCTGTGATCCGTGAGCCGATCTTGATTGAAATTATACGTCCTAATTTTTTCATTCCTTAATCTCGTTCCTATTTGTTTCTTGCGTATTTTGTTAATAAATGAAATCTGTTTGTCTAACTGTTCCTCAAATAAAAGGGTTTTCAGTTTTCTCAATGCTAGCTTTTTATTTTTTATTTGAGATCTATCTGCCTGGCAAGTTACAATTTTACCAGTAGGTATATGAGTTATTCTGATTGCTGAATCTGTAGTGTTTACATGTTGGCCTCCAGCTCCGGATGCTTTTTTTGATTCTATTATCAAATCTTTCTCCTCTAACTTAACATCTATATCTTTGGGTTCTGGTAAGACTGATACAACAGCTGTACTGGTATGTATACGACCAGATTTCTCTGTTGCTGGAATTCTTTGTACTCTATGCACACCACTTTCATATTTTAATTTTTTGAAAGCGTTACTATCTGTTATTAACAAACTAGCTCTTTTTAATCCACCTGATTCAACCAACTCTAATATTTCATAAGTAAATCCCAGATGTTCTAAGTAACTTATATACATAGCTAATAAATCTTTTGCAAACAACATAGCTTCTTGACCACCTACACCTGGTGCTATTTCTATAATAACGTTGTCATAATTGTCCAAACTTCCATACTGCAAAATAACATCTAAAATTTTTTCATCAATCTGTGACATCTGTTGCATATACATTGATTCTTCCTCCTTGGCAAGATCTTTCATTTCTTCATTTTCACATACTGAAACATGAAGTACATAGATTTATAAACATCGAAGAAAGGAGTTTAGTCATAAACTTTTATGTAATAGTAAACGATGCAAAATACATACCAAAGTCGTTCAAGCTTTTTATGTTTTCAATTATTTTAATTTTGTCGTTCAACAGTGGCGGGATTTCACATAACTTAAGAATTTCAGAAATGCTTGCTCCTTGTTCCTTTCTGTCATTGCCTTGATACGCATTCATAAGATGATTTAAATATTTCTTGACATTTTCATTAGTTACGAGTAAATTCGCTTTTGAACAAAATAATTGTTGCACAGGTAAATTAACCACCCTGTTAAGGTTAAACAACACCGGACAGCGTGATTCAAACAATTTATTTGTAATTATGAAATTTCTACAATATTGGCAAATGTTGAACGAGCATCCTTTTAAGGGAAACATGTTTTATTACATACTATCATACAATCATAATATATTTCACATTTTTATACAACTTGAAGTAAAAATATAACCTCCTATCTCATACTTGCAGTTACAACTGAAGAGTGACAACACGTGCTATCAGTGTAGAAAACATTAAGGAAATACAAAGTTTCATAAATAACATATATATTCCTAAAGTTTAAAATATTTTGGTTAAAATACAAATTCATACCTGTGTGAGAAGTTGGAATTCCTGCAGACTTAGAAATAGAAGACGAAACGTTCACTTAAGTACGATATTTTGATTTTTCTCTATTGGTAACACTTAGTTTCTCCATCATTTGCAATCTCGATTCAATTAAATTTTTACATAATAGTGTGATAAATTTTTTTTCTTCGCTTCATTTTACTACATTTTTTACGTAGTTTAATTCGAATACGTAATTTATTAGAAAAGCAGGTATTTATTATAGGCTCGCGTAAACTCGTAAAATATACGAAATATTTCAATTTCAATTATGAAATCGTTATATATATGTATGTATGCACATATTTACTATTTATATACTATTTATTTTAATGAATTTATATATTGAATTGAATAATAAATATGTAATTAGATTGTAAATTAGATTGAAAAATGTATCGTACCAATTGTATCGATTTTCTATAACGAGTATTTAGAATTTCATATATATATATCTAAATACATATTATATACACATATATATATAATTCATTTCTAGTATACTTCGCTCTATTCTAAACAATGGTATATAATAACTATGCAAATATAATATATATAAAAATATATAGTTAATATTAAAATAAATTCATTTATGAATCAATAAAGCTTATTATTGTATTTATGTGATACAGATATATAAATAAATATATATATATATATATATATATATGTATATTTAAATTTCTTCGTGCAGTCATTTTAATTATACATATATGTATGTAACAAAACAAGAACGATCATGTATTCGAATTAATATAACAACGATATTGAAATACAAGCTTACGAAATAATGATGAAATGTCATATAATAAGCGAAATAATACTCTACACTTGCACTTAGGAAGTTTTCCTAGTTGTTGCAACTGGTCTATCTTATTAAACAATTGATTGTAATGGATCAATATTAACAGAAGAAAAATAAACAAGAAAGGAGAGAAAGAGTTCTACGTAACTTTGTCATCGCAGATCACTGAGACTTGTAAAATTTATCATTTGAGTGATCGATAATGCTCTTTTTGTGGCGAGATGATAAACGTGAAAAACATTGAAATGAAAAATGATATCTAACGAACTAACAATTGCGAATGGTAGTTCTCAATCTCGTATAGTATGAAAAACAAGGTACGAATCACAGACTGTAAGCTGTCTGTCGCTAGTTTACCGGCGTTGAAGAAGATTTTTGAAATAACGTCAGGAAATATAGGGAGAAATGTAAATATAATATGTTTTGGAAAATATAGTCGAAGCTAAATTCAAAATGGTGCCCAATTTAAAGTAGGTAGCTCTGATATTCGGGACGAATGCGCCAAGCGTATCGTTGAGAGAGATAGGAAACAAAAGAGAAAGATATGCATACAGTAGACCAGTATAAAGCGGCACGGGACAGCCACGATTGAGGATACTATTTTTCATTAAAACAAACACTACGCAAATTTCGAAAATAAGCGCTTACTACAAAAAAGGTAAATTATAAATTGTTGCACAATTTATTAGAAACATTTAGTAGAAATTATTTAACAATCTATTTGCTATCCAATTAACGGATGGAAATTGATTTTAATATATTCATGTGCAGGCTTTATAATATTATAACGAAGTCATGGAACCTTGCGAAAACCGATCACAGGAGAAAGTGCAAGAAGGAGGTAAGATTAAATTAATTTACATTTGTAATTATTTTACATTGTTCCGCTGGCGCGATTTTTATTATATAACGTTAGTTATTTGTAATGAAATTATGATTATTCGGTAACCTTTTAAAGTTTTTAAAAGCAATTCTGACTCTCTGACTGTTGATCGCATTAGAAGACATTACATACGATCGCCGAGTGTTTAATGACATATTATAGAAATGCGAATTTCACGAGGTCATTAATGAAAGGCGCAAGTAAAATTTATTTCATTTCGTTAATCGTATCGTCATGATAATGACGAATCTTGTAATCTATTTATGAGTATTAGATTTATATATGTATACAGTTTTAAAGCATAGAAGATATATGTAATTTTTTTTTTAATAAAATACTATCACGTGCAATTTTAATTAATTTTGTGATAAATAAAAATTTTATTAAAAATAAAAAATAATTTAAATTAATTTAATTAATTATTTTTAATAAAAATATTTTTATAATTGATAATTATATTTAATATTAATTGATTATTATATTTAACATTTTACAATTCAAGATAAATAATGTAATTTATATATAGATATAAATATTAAAAAATTCAAGAACATAAATAATGTGACATATATAAATATAAATATTAATAAATTTCATAAGTAGTAATTAAATTGCAGTAATTAAAAATGATACCTTATGAAATTTGAAATGAAAATTCATTTTTCAGAATATGGTTTCTTTTGGCAAGATTATCTTGATGCTACAAACAGTGTTGAAGTACCGCAAATTATGTTTCCACATGTTGAGCTAACACTGCAGAGTGGAATTGAAATTGGCATGTCTCTTGAGGTGCCAATTCCAAAAAAAGCTGATGAAGAACATACCACTTTTTGGGTTGCTTCTATTGTTATGGCATGTGGTCCTTTATTAAGATTACGTTATTTTGGTGGAGATGATAGATCCTTGGAATTTTGGTTTAATCTTACCAAAGAAGCTGCTCATGAACTTGGATGGTGTGTGAAGAATAACAAACAGTTGAAACCAACTGACATTATTCTTCAAAGATCACCAGACTGCGTAGAAAAATTATCTGAATTCTTAACAACAACTCGGAGTGTTCCACCAGAAATGTTATCAGGAGTGAGTTGAAAATTTATAAAAAATTTTATACAAAAATAAGATTGTAATTTAATTTTTAATTTCCATTTTTTTTTCTATATAGGATGGTCTTAGCATGACAGAAAGAATTAAACAAGGCATGAAAGTTGAAGTTAGTGATACATTACATCCATACAAATTATGGGTAGCCACGGTAAGAAATAACACAAATTTTCTATTATTATTTTTATAAGAATCATTTCTTAATTGCTTCTTTTTTTCTTCAGATTATAGAAAATGTAGGTGGACGACTTCTGTTAAGATATGATACTCCTGGTTCTTTGCGTAAAGACTTTTGGATGTTTTGTACATCAGAACATCTTCATCCCTATGGATTTGCATCTAAATCTGAGTCTACTTGGTTTTTAGAACCACCTAGTTCTATAGTAGAAATGCATACATACGAAGAATGGAAAGACTTGTTAGAGTCTATACCAAAAAATTATGACCTTCCAGAAGAACTATTTCACAATGCTGTAGATCATCCAAAACATGAATTTAAAGTTGGTATGAAATTAGAAGCATTGAGTCCAATTGATCAGATAAAAATATGTCCAGCTACAGTCATAAAAGTATTTGATGACACTTATTTTCTTGTGCACATTGACACATATGATGAATTGTCAAAAGGAATGGATATTGAAACTTGTATGTACAGAAGTACAGAAAAAAACACTTGGCTTTGTACAGCAGAACATCCATATATCTTTCCAATTGGATGGGCAAAGAAAAATGATATTAAGTAAGTCTTTAGTAGTATAATCTTAAAAAAGTTATTAGTTATGAGAAACTGAAAGTATATACCTTTATATCTATTGTCAAAACTATACACAAAATTCTTCATAATTGATTCAGGCATAAATATAATCTAACATGTCAATGCTTTTTAGAATTGTACATCCAAATGGTTGGACCCCAAAAGAAGACGAATTCGATTGGGACGAATATTTGAAAGATACTCAGGCAATTGCAGCAGAAGAAAAATTGTTCCCAGAAAGACAAAATGCCATTGATGCCGGCTTTGAATGCGGCATGCGGTTAGAAGCAGTTGATCCAGAACGTGAAAATGTCATATGTGCTGCACATATTACAAAAATCGTTGACAATCTTTTATGGTTAAAATTAGATAATTATGAAAATACGAGACCAGAACATATAGTTGATATGCGTTCTTTACAAATATTTCCGGTTGGTTGGTGTGAATCTAATCATTACCCATTGAAACCCCCAAAAGACTATATGGAAGTTTGTAAACAATTGCAAATGCCTGTAAAGGAAGAGAAAAAGGCTAACGTTTTAGATATACCAATATCTGAACCACGTTCTTCATTATGGTGTCCAAAAATATATTTCAATTACCGTTGTTTCACGGGTCCTATGATTTCCAAAGGGAAATTAGCAACCCTGCCAAAAGCAGTGGGACCTGGTCCTGTCATTTTAGTTATGAGAGAAGTTCTATCAATGATCGTATCTGTCGGATATAGAAGTGCTCGGATATTAAAAGTCCTTCAATGTGACTCTAAACCAGATCCGGGATATCATTTAGAAGTTCTAAAAGCTAAACATAAAAACAATACATATCGCGCAAGTGTTGCTGTAGTTACATCCGGAGATATGGTGGCTGATTTTTGCAGAAATATTTGTAAAAAATTAATGGTATGCCCAAATTTATTTGGTCCTTTGTATGTACCTGAAAATGAGTGTCCGGATAAATGTCACAAAACATCAAAAGCGAAATTCAGTACGTACTATTTCTTTTATATTTAATAATTAATTTGTAATCTCTGTTTCTCTTGATTTATTTATATTAATTTCAGCAGCATCTGTCGGTACTGGGCGAAGAGGTAAACCAAAAGGTTACACAAGTATCATGGTGCAAAAACCAAAACCATGGGGTGGTAGACGGAAAAGGAGACGCGGAAGATGGGCAAACAGAGAAAAGGAGAGTCATGAAGATTTCGAGCAAGAAGATGAAATGCCATTTATGTCATTAGATTTAGCGAAACACGTATCAGAGCTTGAAGAAACTCTCGATGGAAGGCCGCCACTTTCTGAGATAGATATCATGATTCAGAAAGGTTTGGAGAAAGGAGAAAAATCAGATGAATTTAAAACTGAGCCGCCTTCGAGCAACACATCAGATGATTCTGGAAGTTCATTCAATGATAATAGGAAGGCGAAGGACAGAGGCAGCCTCAATAGTTTAAATAATAAACAACATTCATTGAAATTTGGCCAAAGTACTACTGTTACTAGGGCAAGCAAGAGAGAACGAGATTGGGATACAAGTATTGAATCTGATGGTTCGGATGGAGAATCAGAATATGTAAGGATGCAAAAGAAACAAAGGCGTCCAAAGACCCGCAAACTTGATTCGAATCCATTATTTTGGAGTGTAGATGATGTTTTTAGATACTTAAGAAAAACGAATGATTGTAAAGACATTGCATATCGAGTGAAACAGGAGGTAATGTATATAGAGATACAAGTATTTAATGAATATAAATACATTCTGTTTATTTATTTTCCGTTTCTTTTCTTTTTTTACAGGAAATTGACGGACTAGCGTTTTTACTATTAAATCTACCGTCTCTTACGCAGCATATGAAATTGAGAACAAGTTTAGCTATGAAACTTTGTCGTCACGTTGAGCAAGTTAAAGTCACATTCTTTTTACGACATATAAATGAAGTAGAACCAGAACAGTATCAAATTGTATAATTTTAATAATTAGGAAAATTCAACTTATTATATTATTTATATAGTGTAATATAGTGTATTATGAAAGGAAAGCAATTTCGAGATGTTTAATGTATTTAATTTCTGTAAATGTTTAATGTATTTAATTTCTGTAAATAATTACAGAATTATCTTTAATTTATACAAATGTGCAAGACTGTATTACTTTTAAATAGATTTTAAATAGATGTAAAATGTATTTAATTACGCTCTTGTATATTTAAATTATTTTTGTTATATCATGTTTTTTAGTGAAATTAAATGTTACTGATTGAATTGACTAATCAGAAAATTATCCAGATAGGTACACAAATGAACATTGGCTTGTTCTTTATTTTTTTAAATTGTACCAAATCTGCATAAAAAAGATTGAATTTAAACTTGAATTTGAATTTCTTCTGGAATTAATCTTGCTGTTATTAATGTTTACATGATATAAACTCTTATTAAACGTTTATTTTGTAAATTGACAATAAAGCAATAAATTTATAATTGCAAGGAAATTGCATCTCAATGTATTGGCCTAAAATACAAGTTTAAGTTTGTCAACTTTTGCGTAGCTGAATTTAAATTTGTGCTCTTACATATTCCAGATCAGTGCTGACCACTTTGTCAAATTATCTGTAATATATTATATTGCGTATAGGATATCAAATAAGAATCGTGAATGAAATAGAAATGATTCTTAAATATTATATGCAAATATATTTAGTAGATTTTCATTAATATAATGAAATTCCTAAAATCTTAACTTAAATAACTTTGTTTTATAATATACGAGGAAGATGTGATTAGTGGGACGAAAAATAAAACGGATATTTAGTTTGTACGTCAACTTATTTGGTATCCAACACATCTCGTAGAACGCAGTCTATCTATAAATTGACGTCTAAAGAAATGATGCGGCTAATTGTAAGTGTTCTGTAAGCAACGCTCGTCGCCTCTTTATGTGTGAGTTAGCGAACACCAAATAAGCTCACACACACAATTGTTAATACAATTTGTATTCGTCGTGTATCTTTTCTGCAACGCAAGATAAATCGCTAGAATATTCGTGCAAATTGCAGCATATGGCTTGATCATTTTTATACCAAGCATTCCATCGTAGTTTAAATTAACACAGAGTATTTCTTACCACGCAAGAGATTCGTTGTTGGTTCTTAGAATATACATTAGTTATCCTATTACTCGCATAACATATCGATTTCGTTTTTATACATATCAATGAAATATTAAAACATCCAGTAAGCAATGTGACTTTTATCAATATATAATATTTTAACAATTTATCTTATAATTTGTTATTTCTTTATTTTTCCTTCGTAGAACTCGTAGATTTTATTGCATTACACGCGTGTCACGAGGGAAACCGCATTACTTACTGGCTGGATCTGAATACACGAAACGAGTTTCAAATGTAAGAAAAATATCATCGTTTAGAAAGATAAAATGTTGTATCGTGTTTAGACCGTTCACGTCTAAAATTGACGCGTCAATTTACCCCTCTTCGACACGCGTCAATTTTAAAATATATCACTTCCCCCTTTTTGCAAAGTACACGCAGCTGCACTTTAAGATCCTATACATAGCAACGTTTACTTAGGGGACGCACCTTTTTTGAATCTGGCGCGACAAGATACCTTCGATCGGTCTCGACCGTTATTGGACAAGAGATACATGTTCACTCTTATAAAGCAGCACTCACATCGTTCGTCCAACCTATGAAAAAAAGCAACTTCTATTAACGAAAATAAAGAAACTGCAAATATTTAACGTTATAGATATAGTATTAATAAAGTATCTAATAAAACGGTTATTTTATCGTGCAAGATAATTTTATCCGCTTGCAGTGATCTACAAATGTAGAAATGTCGACCTTTTTTCGTAGAATACAGCAATGCCCTGATCTATATTGCTGTTCCGGATTTTCGATAAATTTTGGATATGTTGGTAGCTTTTGAAGGTTCTGAATGATTCATAAATTTATGAATTTAATCTGTTTCAAAATTTCCGTCCTTAAACACTTATCTTCAAGCAAGAAAATTTAATATATATATGTATCAACACGTTATTATTAATATATACATTAAGTATATATACTTGCTTGAGGATATTATTAATATTGATACATCAATAATATTATAATTATAGTAATATATATATATATATTATAATGTAATATTAATAATAAATATATACATATACATTAGTAATAATTTATGATTAATAACTCGTAAAATTTCGCCAACAATATCGGATCAACTGTGCAAGGAAATCCTATACACTTTGCTAGCTGGCCAGATATCCGGCGCTATATTTGCGACATTGGGCGA